GGTGGGGCCTCCTGGGGAAGGGGCAAGGTCAGCGAGTGACCCTGCCTCCAGTCCCCCACCCCTTCTCCCCGACACACACACCTTGGGCTGCTCCCCCTGCACCTGGAAATCCTCCTCCTCCTCTTCCTCCTCCTCCTCCGTCTCTCCTTCTTCCTCCTCCTCCTCCTCCTCCTCCACGGGCGGTGAGGGTACCAGGGGCTGCTCCTCCTTGGGCTCCGTGAGGTCAGGCACCGAAGGCGCTGGCGGAGTGGTGGGTAGAACCTGGTGGATGTGCAGGGTGCTGGGTGCTATGGACTGGGGTTCTCCCTCCATCCCCAGGGGCAGGATCCACACTCACACCATTGCCCCAAGGGTGGCTTCAGGGCCTCCCCCTCCTAAGGGGCCTGGAGGGAGGGACAGACAGCTGGGAGGGGGTTGGGTGGCCAGCTGGCCAAGGTGGCCCAGTGCCAGAACTGGAGGCAGTTCCTTTGTGAGCATCAGGGGACTGGGGAGGGAGGGCGAGGGCAGGACCGCATCCCCTCCCCCACTGACCTCGGACCGGTACTTGTCCCTGACGGTGGCCCAGACGCGGTCGTGGAAGGAGGTAGGGTCCATCTGCGAGTCTCCCCCGAGCAGGGTCTGTGTGCGTGTGTTGAGGTGGCATCAAGATGGGGGCCTCCAGAGCCCCTCCTGTGCCCCAGCCACTTATAAAGGGGGACCTCAGGCTGCAGTGCCAGGGCGGGCGAGCTGACTGCCAAGGCCAGGCCTGGGCCAGGATGAGTGTGGTGCAGCCACCAGAAGGGGGCAGCACAGGCCAGCGGGAAGAGGAACCCATCACCAGGGGAGGGACAGGGGTACCTACTGGAGAGACTCGGGAGGGAGGAGAGGGCCAGGCCCTCAGAGGGAGAGGCCGAGGCCGAGGAGGGACAGAGGGACCCAGCAGGGACAGGGGTGGACAGAGGGACGGAGGAGCAGGTCCACACTGTGAGGAGTGCACACTGGGCACACACGTGGAGCCAGTGGGACACGTGGGTGGGAAAGCTGGCTCTGACCTAACCGGACACCCGGTGGCACCCACGTGACCCAGGCTCCAAAGGGCAGGGAGAAGCGACGCTGGGCGGCTGCCCTCCTGGCTCCCACCGAGCCCAGGCGCCCGCAGTCCTGGCCTGGCGCCAGTGGGGAGCCTTCCGTGGGAGCAGCCCACAGCCAGCCCGGCCCCCCTCACGTCACGTGAGGCGATCCCCTCCAGGAGTCCCAGGCCAGGGGCAGGGGGGTACCTGGGCTTCCCCTTCGGATAGCACCCCGTCCCCATCTGTGTCCAGCTCTGGGTGGGTCTGCAGCTCGGCCACCGAGACCCTGCAGGGGTGCAGGCAGAGACCACGGTGAGCAGCAGGAAGTTGGAGGTGAGCTCTAGGGTGGGGACCCCTCCAGCCCCCACCCCTGGGATCTCCCCTGCTTCCCATCCCTTCCTTAAGTCTCTACAACATTGAAGAGGCTCCGAGGAGGGACAGACAGAGGTGGGATTAAGACACCTGGACCCGTGTCTCCCGAGACCCTCTCCTCACCACCAGCAGCATCCATTCCTTCCACCCTCAGCACCAGCACATCCACCTGCCCTCCGCCCGGGGCCCTCCACCCAGAGGGGCCCACACCCACGATGGCCAGTCTGTCCCCCACAGTCACCACTACCAACCAGGGAAGGGCTCGCCCGCCCCTTCTGCTCCCCTGGTCCTCACCAGGGCACCAGCCCAGCCTCCCGGTTCCCGGCAGCCCACCCTCCACTGAGCCATTAGCCTGGGGTCAAGGGCACAGCCGGGTCCAAAGGGTCTGCCTTTGACCCCAGAGGAGGCCTGGAAATAGTGGGATCCCTCGTCACCTCACTCAGCTCCTTGGGAGGTCAGTGTCCCCATCTCCACCACCACCTGCCTGTTCCAGCCCATCTCACACGTGAGTGAGCGAGGGCTCATTCAGAGAGAGCCTGGGACCAGCTCAGGCCCATGGCCAGGAGGTGGGGGGCTGCCTGGTTTCTAGGGCAGGTGGGAGGAAGGGACCCAGGCCGGGGCAGGCGGGGACACTCACACCCCGT